AGATGTTCTTGGAGATACCTCAGACTCACACTAAATCTGAGAGTGCCTGGGCTATTAGCAAAGCAGCTGAACGCTTCCAATAAGACTTTCCTGTTCTTTAGTACCTTGCACCTGAAGATTTCAAACACCTCACAAGCAAGCATTAATAATTTAAGCCCCATTATGCCACTGAAGAAAGAAATGTCATTGCCCTCCACTTATACAGTGGCAACTGAGGTACGGTTTGTTATTTTTGCATCTAATTTTCAGTGACTCCATCTCCAAACATGTACAATGAAAAAGCTCCAGAGCATAACACTATATGGAAAATCAAAATACTGCGAAGTGACAAAATACCTCAATACTGCAAGACAGCTCCATATCATGCATCTATCAGTGTGTTGACTAACCTTCCTTTATCTTTCTTCCTGTAATGCTCATTCTTTTTATTTTTTTAAAAGTTTATTTATACCTCAGAACACCTACCGTTTCAGACCTCAGATTTCTGACATTTTGAAAGTAACTTTCTCTCTTTACACCCCAGCAGGATCGCATTTTCCTGTACCAAAATAAAAGTACTAAACAAAGTAAAACATGAGCCCTGGTTCATTGCAGCATCAGGCCTACAGTCTGAAGGAGGCCAGGTTGGGTAGAACTATGCTAATCTTTTGTTAGGACTCCTTTGCATGCCAATCCTGGCCAAATCTATTTTGGAGAATTTCCCACCTCTCAGGACCTGACCTCAGGTTAGGGCTTTTGGTCAAGAATTCAGATGTAGAGTCAAGGGAAAACTGAAGGAACAGAGAGAGATTTTATTTATTTATATACAAGCTCAGAAGATTTAGCCTGTTTCCCTTGCGGGATACTCATTCAACCATTTGGAAATACACAAAGGACCACATTTTAGAGTAGACTTCAATCCAATTCCCTGTATGCGTGCAACTTTAACACAGCAATTATAACTAGGGCATGGAATTTTTGTGAGTTTTCTCCCATGCCCCCGTCTCCCCCAAAACATATTTAGATATGATCTGAGTTTGTAGGGTATATCATCATGTGTATACTCCAAGTGTGTGTTACAGTTGATATTGCAACAAAGCTATATGCACAGGTGATTATAATATTTTTATCAATAGTAATATCAAGTAATAGCTTCTAACACTGAAGTGAAAATAATAATATTACTTTTAAAAAAAGTGGGCATAGGATGAGTATTGCCAAGACATGCTTTTACTGCATTTTTTAATTCCTGGGTGTGACTTCAGTGCAACTTTGGCTTAGAAAATGAATGACCCCACTGTCATTACTGTGCATGTCAAGAGAGTTCATTCCTATCTTTCCACTTTTGAAAATGACAGTTGATTTGTTCTAGTAATTTTTATATACAAAATCTGTGGCCTAGGGAAAAAGTAAACAAAACACATACTTTCTTACCATCTCTTTTTTCCACACTGCTGTTTTCTCTTTAATTATTTATCTAACAATGAAATTCCCTCTGACTTTAATGAGGCTTTGCTAGGATCAGCAAAAATTAGTGGACTGCATACATAAAAAGAAAACTGAGTAAATGAAAATTAACTGGCTGCCCAACTTAAAGTAAATACACTATTTCCACCTTTACACTTCTATACTCTGGGCACATCTACACATGCAAATACTCTAGGGTAAGTTTACTCTAGAGCAGCGTTTCTCAATCCATGGGTCATGACCCAAAAGTTGGTCACAAGAATATATGAAAGGGTTGCAAACAAACTTTAAAATGGATTATCCTTTAAATGAGAAAAAACATGGGGAAACTGTGGGTTTCCTTTGCAGGCTGGCAGAGTTCCACCCTGCAAGGGGCTGCTTGGGGCCCACCCCTGTGCATCACACACCCACCCCCTGCCCCACCCACTGGGGAATGGGGCCTGTGGCTGGGGGGCAGTGGATTGGGAGTGAGGGGCAACACCAGGGCCAAGGGACTGTTTCTACTTAAACTATTTACTGAGTCAGGACTGGCCATCTATATTTACAAATGGGTCCTGGTACAAAAAGTTTGAGAGTGAATCTACTCCGAGCAAACACCTACACACACCGAGAAGCAAGAGCAGATTTGCTGCTCATGGCAGCAGTCTGCTCCTGCCCCCACCAGCTCTGCACTGGCCCCCAGCAGCAGCCAGGGGGAGGTCTAGGCTCCCCTTGGGCGCTAGCCCAGAGGCTGGCAGGTTGCATAGGGCCAGAAGACAGCTGTGTCCTGGAGGGGGCTGGGACATTGCTCCTGCTAGCTGCCTGCCAGCTAGCCCCACACTGAAGCATGCATGTGCCCCAGCCAGCCCCTCTGCAGCACACTATGCTAGGGGGAGCAGCCTCAGGCTGCCAGCCAGAATAGTTATGACCCAGCTCAATATGGTGCACAAAATTAAACTCAAGAGCTTATTGCTCTGGAGTTTATTGCTCTCAGGCTCATGTTCAAAGGGCATGTCCAGGAGCAATAAGCTCCAGAGGTTATTCATGTGCATTAATTAAACCTGTAGATGCACCCAATATGGCTTATTTTTCTCCATTTCAAAAAGCAAAATGATCTCTGAGTATGTGAAACCTAATACTTAATAAGCATGAAATAAAGAAGTAATAGTAATTATATGCATCCAATGGTGTAATAACGTATACACTATTTGAGTCAAAGCTGCTGTCCACAGTTTTTTCAACAGTCAAAGGGTGTTTCTCATTCAGCAGTCCCTCCTTCAGTATGGGTAAGCAACCGAAAAAGGAAAGAAAATAACTAGCTTGCAGTAATTTTATTTTATTTACACCAAGTGATCAATCAACTTATCATGTAAGTATTTTACTTAATCTTCTGATCAAACATGCTGCTGCTTTTCATTATAACCTAAATTCTTATAAGGAAATGTCTAAATCTGATTAATTTTTAGTTAAGAAAAGGTGTCTCCAGAGCTCTAATTTTGTGATATCTGGCATTTTACAGCTGTTAAGGAAATACTTCCATGTTTTGTAATCTTTAGGGAAAATAACATTCTCCCTTTCTATCTTCTGATAACTGACTGAGAGACAGAAACTTGTTCTATTTACTGTGCTTCCATATTGGGGGAAAAAAATCATATATTCCATTTGAATTAAAAGTAGCAACATTATTACAAGGCTGGCATAAATGTTAGGTTCCTGCCATGTAACATGGTACAGTGAAGTGCTTCAAAATTCTACTTGGTTCAGGGTGTAGTACAAACAGTTTCCCTTCACTTTTTCCTTGGTGATCACTTTACTAGACATATTTAGTATTTCCTTTGTTCAACACATACTTTACTCTGTTCTTGTCTGTTGTGCAAAAATGGAATTGATGTCAGTCCTGTGATATGCTATTATGCATTTGTAACATTTTATTCATCAATGCATGATTCTGAAGACGAAAATGAAATATTCCAGACAGAACAGCAGAAAACATATAGCATCATTTTCCACTTTGCTTTGCCAGCTAAGAACAGGGAAGAGAGTCTTTGGCAAGCTAATTTGGATACTTGTTGCTAGTGAAAAACTGTTTTACGTATAAGAATCCATTTTCATTTCATATAATTAAAAAAAAAATTATACTGAAGTGGGAAGTAAGTAACTGGTACAGTAAACACAACAAACAGGTTAAGTCTCTGGGATTATGTCAGTCTCTCTAATGACTGTCCACACATAATTTATCATTATAAATAATTTATATTTATAAAGTATATATATATATATTTGCCATCTCCCTCTGTGTTTCTTATAGTTAGTGAAAAATGTTCCCTTTTACATAATTTTTTTTTCAGGTCTATAAATACACAAACATCTTTTACAATAATATGGACTACCAAAAGTAACCACTGTTGACATTTCCTTTTGCTGAAAGATTCCCAGTGTAATAAGTCTATTTCCTTACTTTATAGCAAAGGGAATATTCTTAGGGATCATAAGGAGAGGAGGACTTTCCTGGTGGGCTGAACTGTAGGTTCTCGTAGTTCTGTTACATATTCTGTTAAGAGCTTCCCTAGTTCCTGGGACTGAGGTACACAACCCAGTGTCTATCGGAGGCCACTTACAAGCAACATTTTCCAGTGGAGGGTTGCTGCAACGCATACACAGCCTGGCTGACTTGCTGAGGTAAATGTCTAGCGCAACTGACTCTGAGTTGCCAGGCCACTCATATTACCCTGGCTATTCCCATATTGTATACCCCTCCTAGAAGACATCCTTAAAACCTTCCTCAGTTATTTTGGTGTGCGGCCCTTGCAATAAGTATATCTGATTGATAAAGATAGAAGGGACTTCAGGAGAAGGACTGGAAGGGATCTCATAAATTATAACTGCCTTGCCAAGAGTTAATTCTGAATCGCTCAGTGTCTATCTGGTCTCTGGTAAGGATTGTGGTTAGTTCCCCGCAAAATTGCAAGACTGACTCTTCAGCCTCAGATAAGACATTGACTTGTCTGTAGTATCACCTGCCTTTCATCTCTCTAATTAAAAACATATATTTCATGTTTATTTTTTAACTGCAATGCAGTACGGCTCACATTTCTGTATTACAGTTTCGCAGTTAAACTTCTCTGAAGTTAACTGACATTTATTCAACATGTCGGCTGCATCCAAACCACTCACTGTCACAAAAAAGGCTATCTTGGCTTATCTTCCCCTTTTACTGGCACATGCTGCTTACAGATGCAGAATGAAGCACTCTGAACTTCCTCCAGTTGCTTTCCAGATTCCCAGAGAGTCTCTGCTCCAGTGGAGCTTTAACTACTCCATTTTTCTCCTCTGGGTGTTTTATTACTTTTTAATGATCTTCCCCTTGGTATCACATGGTGTCTTAGTGTGACTCCTGGACTAGGTACTTGACAGAGATCTGCTTCTTTCGGAGTCTTAGTTCCAGCTGCCACAATTTCATAAGATGATACCTTCTGTTATATAATGTAAACCAAGACATTTCTGCAAATGCAGTGGCCAGGCACTTCATTCTTTCTGCACTTCAGAACTAGCTGACACCTCAGAAACAGCCTAGATGAGGAGCAAATAGTTTAGAACCTTGTGATTGACAGGCTCTACTCACCTTCTTCAGGCCAGGACATAAAGCAAAGATGCCTTCTTCCCTACCATGATACTTAATGGCACACCAGGGTAAGTGTATGTGGTTTACTTTTGTACAGTTCTTGGCCAGACTGTGAATTTAGCCAGAATAAATGTAATTTCTATGGCTTCTTGCTGCATAGAGGAATATTGTCTAATTGTAATGCATTAAAAATACTGTGTTACTCATTTTTCAGATGTTTAGAAGTTCCTCCCAGGGAAGTTTATTAAAGGCCTTGTTAATGCGTGAACAGTCAAGGGGTTAAGAGCTCCAGGAGCCACCCAAAATTACCATGTAACATCTGAAATTAGTTTTAATTAGGGTGATCTCTGATCTGTGCTACCCACACTGAGTTACACAAATGTGTAGTAAAGCTAGACTACACCTTAGCGTAAACACCCACCCACCTCCCCTTCCCTGCTGGCCTGGCTCAGGCCCACTGCCCCCTCTCCCCTCAACTCTCCCCAGCCCCCTGTTTACTGCCCCTCCCCACCTGCACTTACTTGTGGCTACCCACATTGTTTGTCACAGGGAAGCAGGCAGGGCAGAGTTAACCAGCCTGCCTGCCTGACCACTGCTGCTGCTCTGTGCCTGGCCAGGGAAGTTAAACCCATCCCTGTCTGCTCCACTGGGACAGAGCCAGGCAGCTACAATTAGGCAGGTATTGAGGAGGGTGGGGGGACCCTGCAGGGCAGGGAGGGAGCCCTGGGGGTGGGGAGGAGCTGAGGGGAAGTCCCAGGAGGAGAGGCATGACAGGGAACAGGTTGTGCCTGTCACTCAAAGGGGATTGAGCAGGCAGTAAATAGCCTGCAGGCAGGAGCAGGCGCAATCAGGCACTCACATGGGAGGCAGGCGGAGAGGGTGCTGCATTTGGGGTGCACAGACCCTGGTGCCAGAGAGGGTGCGGCATTTGGGGTGCACAGACCCTGGCGCCAGAGAGGACACGGCATTTGGGATGCACAGACCCCAGCGCCAGAGAGGGTGCGGCATTTGGGGTGCACAGACCCTGGCGCCAGAGAGGACACGGCATTTGGGATGCACAGACCCCAGCGCCAGAGAGGGTGCGGCATTTGGGGTGCACAGACCCTGGCGCCAGAGAGGACACGGCATTTGGGATGCACAGACCCCAGCGCCAGAGAGGGTGCGGCATTTGGGGTGCACAGACCCTGGCGCCAGAGAGGACACGGCATTTGGGATGCACAGACCCCAGCGCCAGAGAGGGTGCGGCATTTGGGGTGCACAGACCCTGGCGCCAGAGAGGACACGGCATTTGGGATGCACAGACCCCAGCGCCAGAGAGGGTGCGGCATTTGGGGTGCACAGACCCTGGCGCCAGAGAGGACACGGCATTTGGGATGCACAGACCCCAGCGCCAGAGAGGGTGCGGCATTTGGGGTGCACAGACCCTGGCGCCAGAGAGGACACGGCATTTGGGATGCACAGACCCCAGCGCCAGAGAGGGTGCGGCATTTGGGGTGCACAGACCCTGGCGCCAGAGAGGACACGGCATTTGGGATGCACAGACCCCAGCGCCAGAGAGGGTGCGGCATTTGGGGTGCACAGACCCTGGCGCCAGAGAGGACACGGCATTTGGGATGCACAGACCCCAGCGCCAGAGAGGGTGCGGCATTTGGGGTGCACAGACCCTGGCGCCAGAGAGGACACGGCATTTGGGATGCACAGACCCCAGCGCCAGAGAGGGTGCGGCATTTGGGGTGCACAGACCCTGGCGCCAGAGAGGACACGGCATTTGGGATGCACAGACCCCAGCGCCAGAGAGGGTGCGGCATTTGGGGTGCACAGACCCTGGCGCCAGAGAGGACACGGCATTTGGGATGCACAGACCCCAGCGCCAGAGAGGGTGCGGCATTTGGGGTGCACAGACCCTGGCGCCAGAGAGGACACGGCATTTGGGATGCACAGACCCCAGCGCCAGAGAGGGTGCGGCATTTGGGGTGCACAGACCCTGGCGCCAGAGAGGACACGGCATTTGGGATGCACAGACCCCAGCGCCAGAGAGGGTGCGGCATTTGGGGTGCACAGACCCTGGCGCCAGAGAGGACACGGCATTTGGGATGCACAGACCCCAGCGCCAGAGAGGGTGCGGCATTTGGGGTGCACAGACCCTGGCGCCAGAGAGGACACGGCATTTGGGATGCACAGACCCCAGCGCCAGAGAGGGTGCGGCATTTGGGGTGCACAGACCCTGGCGCCAGAGAGGACACGGCATTTGGGATGCACAGACCCCAGCGCCAGAGAGGGTGCGGCATTTGGGGTGCACAGACCCTGGCGCCAGAGAGGACACGGCATTTGGGATGCACAGACCCCAGCGCCAGAGAGGGTGCGGCATTTGGGGTGCACAGACCCTGGCGCCAGAGAGGACACGGCATTTGGGATGCACAGACCCCAGCGCCAGAGAGGGTGCAGCATTTGCGGTGCACAGACCCCGGTGCGAGAGAGGGCGCAACACTAGGGGTGCAGAGAGCCCAAGCACCAGTGAGGTGCAGAGACAGGGGTGTGGAGAGCCCAGGTGCCAGTGAGGCGCAGAGACTGGACTACGGAGAGCCCAGAGAGGACAAGGGGGCCAATTCATAGCAAGGCGCAGACCCAACATTGTCAATGCCATCTGCAAGGCTTGGGGTATGGTAAAGGGACGGTTGGAGCCATGCACATAGCCCATAAAGCTAGGGTGTCCCCAAAAACACCCATTGTGAAATGGGACCCACAAGGGGTCCGGGAACCCACAGGGTTCAGAGAGTCCATCAAACCGTGTCTAAGAGGACTTAAAGGCAGCCTCCCTATTTTTATATTTCCATCAAAGACCTGAAGGTGCCCAGTGGGCCAAATTGGCATGGTTGAGGGGCCTTAGGACATCACGACCATCCTTAGGGACCCCATCCCCTGACAAGGCCCCTCTGTGAGGAACAAGAAGAGCCCCAGAGAAGTAAAATGGCCCCACCTGTGTTGCAAAGAACTCCGCAGGTCTCCTTCTTCACCCGGTGTTTCAGGAGGGGAGGGGGAGTCAGCTGGAACTCCAGGATAAAAGGAGACCTGGGACAGGCAAAAGGGGGACACAGGAAACCAGAAGTGACTGACTCAGGCAGCGAGATGGCAGGGAGAGCCAGAGGCACTGAGGAAGCAAGGGAGACCGAGCTTAAGGGAAGCAGCTCTGTGGAGGGAGCTGCTGGGGGAGAGAACCCTGAAGGAAATGCCCAGAGAGAAACAGAAACTGCCATGAGGCAGTTAGAAGGTACCATAAAGACCCTAATAGCAGAGCTGAAGAAAAAGGGTACCGCAAAGTTGCGACTATAAGGGCAGAAGAAGTGCCCATTTGGTTTTTTTTGTTCTCTTTTTTGTGAGAGAAAAGTCACCCCAGATAGTGCGTTTATAACTATCAGGACAATAAACCAGGAAAAAGACTGGCTAGGATTACTGGCAGGTCTGTGCCAGGTTCCAGCCAGGCGAGATACAACTGGGCCCATCGGGGATACTGATTGGCCAGACCCAGAGACCCAAGGAGCATTTTTTTTGTACTGCTCAAAGGCAGATTGCGGAGACAACTGAATTACCACCCGGTGGAATGGGTGCGGGAGTAGGGGTTGGTGGAGCCCTCACTACACTAAGACAAATTGCAAGAGCCAAAGCGTCAAGACCCATATGCCCCGGCATCTATTTTCTCCTGTAACAACAAGTCATGGCAGGCGAGATCATGGCCGTGTGGGAGGGGCCAGCAAGACGTTGCGGTGGACTTCGGCTTGTTAGCCGAGGTGCTAAAGCTGTCTCAGTGTAGAAGATAGAGTAAGAAAGGAAGAAAAGGAAAAAAGCCACTCAGACAGGTGAGTAGGAGGAGCTCCAGAGATTGACAACACCTAGATCGATAGAGACAAGCCTCTACCACAGATAGGGGTGGGACTTTGGGGGTGAAAGCCTACCATTGTTCACCCTCCTGGCCTGAATGTGTGACTCGAGATGGCACTAACACAAATCAACATTTGTGCGGCTCAGTGCAGTGTAACAAGGCTCTGAGTGTCTCCTGTGTCCTGTGTCATGGGCCTCAACAAGAAGGCACAAACAATTAGTTTTCACTAGAGAAGTCACACTTCCATAGAAGTCTATTACAGCTATCATAATTAACAACAACAGTAACACTACTAACTGTCGTTGTTATTGCTGCAGTGGAGCTCAAAATATGGTAAAATTCTTTGTAAATACAGAAGACAAAACAGTCACTGTGCTGATGGGATTTTATTCCTTGAGGGAGCAAGTGACAATACTGTTTCTTGCTTCCTTGTTACTCCATTGGAAAAAAGGCAGGTTGAAATTCTAGCTGCAACACCATAGGAATGCAGCCTGTGCTTCCCTTGGGAGTACACTGAATCACTGTACAGTACAACCTCACTATAACAAACTTTAACAATCCTGATAGCAGGAACTGATATTTTTTCATTATTATGATGCAGCAAATTAACCCATATTATAGCAAACACTCTCTTTTTGTGATTTTTTTTCCTCTCTCAAACTTCTTATAATGAGGTGGTAATTTATTCTAGCTGATCTATTTTAAGATGTCCTTGCCTCCATTTTTCCACTGCACCTACAGCAGAGAGAGAGGCTGTGGGCACTTGTGTCTCTTGACAGACCTTTCACAGCCATTTGTACACAGCTTTTTGCCCTTTTTGCACCATCCGGTAATTTTAAGTTTCCTTCCATAGAGAAGGCTCTGCAAATCTTTACTTTTTGCTACCTTTCTTTACTCTAGGGGCTCATCTATATGAGATGCTGACTGTGCAGTAGCATCGCATGGCAAAAACCATGCTGAGACTCTACTGTGCAGCAGTATTAGGCTATGTGCAGTAGCATCACATAAAAGATGATCAGTGGTGTTACTGCCAAGTAACTTCAGTTACTGTGCATTTATTTAGTGCTTGCTTATACAAATACTAAATAAATGCACAGTAACCACTGTGCAGTAGCATCTCATGTAGATGTGCCCTGGTTGTATCCAAAACATACTTTAGACCTCTGATAATCAAAAAGGAATAAGGATCTTTGTGTGTATTTGTTCTAGGCAATCCCAAATTAGCCTTCATCTAAGAAAAGCAAAAATCATATTGGTGTAGAGCCCTGAGGAGACAACCTCAGCAGGGTTTTGGGCACTCCTTAGAACAGAGCTGTTAGAATTAACTAAAAAAAAAAAAGACAGAAAAGCCTCTTTTCATTGTTCCTTTTTATTTCAGGAGCAAAGTGTCCTGACATCTTTACTAAAAATGTTTTTCTACATAGTAGCCATCCTTGCCATCTGCTATTGGTGGTGGGTTTGGAGAGGAAGAGACAGGTCAAAGATTACAAATCTAACAGGCAAATATATATTCATCACTGGATGTGACACAGGATTTGGAAATCTAGCAGCAAGGACTTTTGATAAGAAAGGATTTCGAGTTCTTGCCAGTTGTCTGACTGAAACAGGAGCAGAAGAGCTAAAAGCAGCATCCTCAGAGAGGCTCCAAACACTACAGCTGGATGTGACAGATTCAGACAATGTGAAGAAGGTTGCTGAGAGGGTAAACGCTGAAGTTGGGTCAGAAGGTGAGTGACAGAACAGCTGCAAAGTGTTTAATGTCAATAGATAAACATTTCAAAAGATCATGATTTGAAAAATGTTTTGGTTTTTTTTACTGTGTTTGTGCTTCTTTTCAGAAATATTCTAATGGAAGAGTTCTCTGGAAAGAACTGTGTGTACAGCTAACTCTAAGTACTTTTGGGGGAAGGTTCTTGAAAAGTGAATTTGCGAATGCATATATTCACAATAGAAATCCAGTTCCATTGACTTTCATGGAACAGTTCTTGTACTTAAAATTAACCACGTGCTTACATGCATGCATAAGGGAATTAGTACCAGAGTTCTTATTACTCTCAGGATGAAGTGCCTGATAAGAAAACAGAAACAAAAACTGAACCTGTATAGAATTAACCAAATTTCATTTTGCATAGCAAATAATCATAACGAGCTGCTCCCAAACCACTGACAGACTAGGAATTATTTAGTAAGTAATTTTGAATAGCAAGAATATTTTAGAAAATTAGGGTCTGACTGTGGACCATTTTCAAACAGAAAAAGAAACAAATGTCATGGAACAAACTACTCTGTCCCAGGGGAGCTGGGACGCTGGAAGGCCCCTGGGGCAGCAAAAGGTCCCGCTTACCTCCTGTAGGGCCGGAAGAGCCGAGGGAGGCCCATGCGCCGAGAACGTCGGCGCGGGTTGTCAGCCGGGCATTTATCCGGCTGCGGCAAAGCAGCGGGGGCGGGGGACGCCTTCCGGGAGGAACAAAAGGCGGCCCCACTGAGGCAACGGGGCAGCTGGACGAAGGAAGCTGGAGCGGGAAGCCTCAGCAAGCGGGGAGTTAGCCGCCACCCGCGGAGTGCGGGAGGGAATGAGGCGGAGCCAGACCCAGCTCCGAGAGATGGAGCGGAGCAGCTGGCAGCAGTGCTGGTGGAGAAGCCAGCACTGTGATTATCGGCTTAGCAGGTGGGGGAACCAGCGGCAGGGCGGGGAGCAGGGACCGGGGG